CATCGGAGGGAAAAATGTTTCTATACACCACAAAATACTCAATAATTGGGGTTTTACTTTTTGCATTTGTTAACTTTTTTGGGAGATTTTCTACCCAAAGAGAATCGAAAATGAAAATAATAGCCAATTTGATTAAAGCACGTGTCCAAACTTTCCAAAATACCGAAATTGGAGGTGGATTTTATATGTAGGCTATACCAAAACTGGAACCGATATATCCCAGTTTCAGTACTAAACATCGTAGGAGCAAAATTCCAAAGCTCCATCTGAAATATTTCATAAATCCTCATAGAATTTTATTCTGATCCAGAATCCGGTGAATATTTCGAGGTTTTGTACATGGGATGATAAATTTAATACACAATTCACCTTGTGGTGGAGGGTACAATGATTCATTTCAAACAGTAGATAGTAATTTTGTAGACCTCCGCAAACCATAGGCCGATGGTGCATATCTGTCGGCAACACCGGCTGACACTTTTTTATTTGTTGTAAGGGTTTTGATAGTATTTATGCGTTACTGTTTTTGAAATATTTTTCCACTTAAATGTCAAAGTGAATATGTCATGTCAATCATCATGCCATGTAAATGTCAAAGTCAATATTTTTGATCCAGATTAATAAGTCATTGAGGTAGTTCAGAATAACTTTCAAAAATCTACATAGTTTCTATCGCACCTCGTATATGCGTGTTCGCTTTTAACAATTCAGTGCATTTTTCATTTAGACACTGCAGTATGAGAAAACCTAACCGAAAATGCGTCTGGACACCTACCATTGTCTTTGAGAACATTTAGCCACTTTGTTCATTTTGCTTTTTTAGTTATATTTAAATTATTTTACTAAACAAGTCATGCCATAATGTAATACGGCTACCAGCTTTAAGGCATTCCGATGCCGAGACTAGTGTGTACATTGATTTTTACGACTACACAAATACATTGGGACGGTTGTTTGGTCCTTTTTTCGTGATAAAACGTTCGAATTTTTATTTTGTCACAGTAAACACGGTCATTAACTCGTGGCTGCTTTTTAATTAAACAGAAATAAGTATGTACAATCCTCCATTGCCTCCATTAAATTTTAGGTTCCTTTTTTCGTTGTAATGTTCAGAGTTAAAATTATATATTTCTTAATATTCACGTGGGCCGATGGCAAAATGTTAAACTTAATACTTAAGAAAACAACGATCCATAACAAATGATCGTCCATAATGTGGATGTCTTTCGTTTTCTAAACACCAAACATTCACATACATCGTGTGTGACGTCGCCGACGACGACAGATCGGAACATAACTTTTCCTTTTTAATGAGTGTGTTGCATAAATTATGTTAATAGGTTGAACGATCAGCCATAGTAGGTAAGATAAAATTGGCCCACCAAAAATTAGCATAGCTTTTAAAGCTATAAATTTCTACCTTTCATTGGCTGTCTCAATCAAAATGGTTATATATCTTAGTTAGCTGTGAAATTTTGACAAAGATTTATGAAAAAATACCATTAAAATGTGTTTTGTAATTCGAATGAGCTCTAAACGGTAGTCGTAATATACTATGTATCTGATTTTATTTCGAAATACACTGTTCAACAGGAATATATTTTAGCAGAACATAATTGTCAATTTAGCACAGATATTTAAGGTAATTAAATACCAAATACTTAAGATATGCAACTGTGGTGACGGTTTATGAAATAAATAAATATCACATATAAAGGTTTCGGGGACGCTAATTACGATTCTGCAAGAATGAAAGTGTAAATTATATAGTGTATATAAAGTTTATTTATTCTTGATGAGCGTAAAATTCTATGACGATTTAAGCATGTCCGTCTTTTAATCTCTCTAGCGTCTAAAGGAATTGAGATAGATCGCTAAAATTTTGGTCTGCAGGCAGGCCAAGTTCGTCTACGTTTACGCATAGCTCCCATATAAGGGTACCTCCCCTTCCCATCAAATGTTCGGTATTTTGGAGTTCTTGATTGGAGTTCAATCGAATTCGCTTTTGGAGTTCAATCGAATTTGCTGAAATTTGGAACATTGGGTTCTTATTGGATACCAAATTTCTCCACTAAAAGTTATAAATATAGGTCCACTTTTTCTGATAGCCCCCATACAACAGTACCCCCCAATTTTCAGTTGTCCCCCTATCTGCCATAGTATGTGGGAAAGTCGTTACTCAAAGTAGTCAGTTTTTACCCAACAAAATAATTCTTAAACGATTTAGCCATCTATTGTAATCATTTCGCCTTCTGAAGATAACCAAAAATATTCAATATCCCCCTTGAGTCATAGCCCCATATAACTTTGCCATGCGTTATCAGTATCAGTCCACGTTTTACTGTTGATCCGATTTTAGGAAAAATCCTTATTAAAATTGCTGAAATTTGTATTTGGTGTACATAATAGTTTACATAAATCGGTTTGTAGAGTTATAAGTATAGGGCCACTTTTTTGTACGTTCCCTATATTTTCATTTCAAGTATCTGTCAGTATATCTATGGTGGAGGGTGTCCAAAGTTCGACCCGGCCGAAATAATCGCTTTTTTCACTTGTTTAACTTAGTTTATGGTGAAAACCAGTAAGGAAAGTAGTAAAGTCGGACGGGGCCGACTATATGATACCCTTCACCACTATGGGTATATTAAGCAGGACCATTAACATGAAATTGGATGAAATAAAATATGTGATATTTATCTAAATGTGAACCGACTAAGATCAATCAAACCGATTTCTTTAGCATAGAACAGCTTAAAAAACGAATGACATGTTTCGTTTTTTATGCTGTTCTATGCTAAATTTTGTACGATGTGCAAAATTTCATGTCAACCTGAACAATGCACCATCGGACGAAAATATATATGGAAGCTATATCCAAATATGAACCGATTTCTTGTCACTTGTCACAGGTTAGGTTATATTAATTTCAGTACGTTTTGACGAAACTACATATAGGTGCTATATCTAAATCTGGATCGATTTTCACGAAACATGGCAGACGTCACTCTAGCCTCAATTAAGTACGTCAAGACAAATTTCGTGCAAATCGAAAGATTAATAGGGACTTTGGTGCACCATTTACATAAAATCGGACGAAACTGTATATGGGAGCTATATCTAAATCTGTACCGATTTTCACGAAACATGGCAGACGTCACTCTAGGCTCAATTCAGTACGTCATGCCAAATTTTGTGCAAATCGAAAGATATATAGGGACATTGGTGTACCATTTACATAAAATCGGACGAAACATGGCAGACGTCACTTTAGGCTCAATTCACTACGTCATGCCAAATTTCGTGCAAATCGAAAGATATATAGGGACTTTGGTGTACTATTTACATAACATCGGGCGAAATTATATATGGGAGCTATATCTATATGTGAACCGATTTTCATGAAACTTGGCAGACTTCACTCTTGGTTCAATTCAGTACGCTACGCCAAATTTAGTGCAAATCGAAAGATATATAGGGTCTTTGGTACACCATTTACATAAAATCGGCTGAAACTATATATGGGAGCTATATCGAAATCTGAACCAATTTTTCCCAATTTCAATATGGTTCGTCCTTGGGCCAAATAAATGAGTTGTGCCAAATTTCATGCAATTCGAATTAAAACTGCAACCTGTACTTTGTTTACATTTTAACATGGACAGACGGACGGACATGTATAAATCGACTCAGAAAGTGATTCTATGCATATTCTAAAAAGGAACCATGGGTCTATCTCGATTATTTTTGCCTGTTATAAACATATGTACAAAGACATAATATCCTGTACCACAGTGTGGTGAAGGGTATAAAAAATAGGCGATTTTCCAAAAAACAAAAAAATTTCAAAGTTTTATTAGCTATCATGGACCATAAACAACCACTTACAAGTCAATTGACAATGGTAAATGATAAAGACCAACCATTTTAAATTCACATGCCATAATTTAGAGAAATAATGGACTATACTTAATTGGAAAGAAGATCTGGGTAGACGAACATTGCTATATCGAATCCATATTATGTGACATGGATGTGGTCCAATTATGTGAACAACAATTTTAATCAATTTGTCCAATTAGGAAGATGATCCTGTTAATCGATCATCTTCCTAATTGAGATGTTATGTTATCCTGCTTTTGTTATGGCTCCATAAAGCTTTAATGTAATCAAAAATACATCTATTTAATCTCTAATCAGCTAAACCGAACCAAACGTCTTCTTTACTTTCTTTATTACCTTTAAAGACAAAACTTCCTTTATGCTCAAATCCGAAAAAAAAATTATAAATTCGATAAAGCAATTTGTATTGTTATATAAAAATAAAACATAAATCTCTTAATAAAACAAACAATCAACGCATAAAATTAAAAATTGAAAACACACGCACACATTCACAAAGACAAATCACGATCGTGATAAAAATCAAATTGGTCGTCGAATATGTAAATCAGTTATTGTCCAATAAAGTTATAACAGCAACAACAAACAAATAAGTAAGTTGGCAAAAAATCAAAACCAATTTTAAAAGCCCTTAATATTTTTTTTTAAAACCCATTAATATTTTATTAATTTTTCGAAGAAGCACACGAAAAACAACAACAATAAAATTGGATCATCAAAATCACACTAAGCGTCTCATTAAGAAAACCAAAACAAAACAACCGACCACTTCAAAGGGGGGGCATCACCTGAAGCATTGTCTGACTTTCTTTTGTTGTTATTGTTGGCAAACGGTTTGGAACAACAAAGAAAGCATATTTAAGAATATAACCGAATATATACCAAAAGAAAGGTAAAATTTTGCGGACTTATGAGAGTGTGTTTGTGCTAAAAACAACATATTGAATTTCAATCAATTGAAAATTGAAACTATAAGAAGACACACAACTTTTTCCAATGCAAACATTTCAACTGGGCAGGTGAAAGAGCTCAGTTGTGCAGAAAAAAAGTTTGGTGTAAAAAATTTTAAAAAATTTGAATATTTACCAAAAAGTGAAATAATGAAATTCTTAATAATTTGTACCCTACTATGGGTATCCGCCCAAGGACAATATGTCTACGAGCCACCAAATCAAACCGAGGATTTACAAACTGTGCAACGTTACGATCAGACACCAACTGCAGGTTTTTATGACATCTTCAATGGCTTTCAAATTGACTTTGTTGACGGTAGTTTTGGCAAAGCTAAACCCCAACGCAATAACTGCAAATCTAAATGCTGTAAGTTTTGAAATCGTGAATGCATGAATATGTCCTTTGAATTTAAGTGTATTCCTTATCTTGGATTTTGTAACTAATATTCCATGTTTTCCATTTTTTATTTGTTCTTACTTCCTTCCAGTCTGTGGTGCACCAAATGGCAATCGCATTGTTGGCGGCACACAGGTGCGCCAAAACAAATATCCCTGGACAGCCCAACTGTTAAAAGGTCGCCATTATTTGCGTCTCTTCTGCGGTGGCTCGTTGATTAATGATCGTTATGTGTTGACTGCTGCCCATTGTGTCTACGGTAATCGTGAACAGATAACAATACGCTTATTGCAATTGGACAGATCATCTCGGGATCCTGGCATTACCAGAAAGGTGAGAAATCATAACATTAATAGTGAGTCGAGGGTAATATTTAGTTACCTTCCGCATTGCATTCATTGTATTGTGGATTCTTCCGCTTTTGTTTGGGAAGAGAGTTTTTTTAAACGACAGGAAGAAATCAATTTTAAGCAAAGTTTACAGTTAGCAGGATGGGGCATACAAAGAACAGTGGGCGGAATTTATATTTTACTGATTTATTTAATGATTTTATAAATCACTGTGGATATGATACAAATTATTTTTTTAGAATGATGTTACTGAATTCAAGCGCCAAAGTAGTGTTTTGAAACCCTAGTATCTCGACTATCTGAATCGATAAAAATATTTGTGTCCGTTTGTTGGTCTTGAAGACATGATCCATATTTGAAATACCTGTAATCAATAAGCGATTTACACCATGGTGCGTTTTTGGACCATAATCGACCATAATCCGCAATATATTGACTAATAGGGTTGTAGCCTTATTTGAGATTTTTTTTTCTAAAAAATCAAGCAATATTATGCCGATGTATTGCTTGATCTTTAGGAAGATATTTTTTGGGTAATTTGTTCTATTGGTAGTTTTGATTACGTTATGATCAAACCAGTAAGGAAAGTAGTAAAGTCGGACGGGCCGACTATAAGATACCCTTCACCACTTTGGGTATATTTAATAAAACTATATAACTTTGGGTCTTTGGTGCACATGTTACTTAAAATCTGACGAAACTATATATAGAAACTATATCTAAATCTGAAGCGATTTTCAGGAAACTTAACACACATCATTCTATACTTCATTCAGTACGATATGCCAAACTTCGTGCAAGTCGAAAGATATACAGAGACCCTGATGCACTATTTATCTAAAATCGGACGAAAATATATATGAACCGATTTTTACGAAACTTAACACACACCACTGTAGACTTTATTCAGTACGCTGTACCAAATTTCGTGGAAATCGAAAGATATATAGGGACTTTGGTACATCATTTTCCTTAAATCGGACGAAAATATATATGCGAGCTATATCTAAATCGAAATCGATTTTCAGGAAACATAACACACATCATTCTAGACCCAATTTATTATGCTGTGCAAAATTTTCTTGCAAATCGCAAGATCTAAATGTCTTTCGATTTGGACTTTGGTACACCATTTTCCTTAAATCGGACGAAAATATATATGGAAACCATATCTAAATCTTAACCGATTTTCACGAAAATTAGCACACACCATTATTCAGTACGCTGTGCCAAATTTCGTGCAAATCGAAAGATATTTAGGGACTTTGGTGCACCATTTACCTTAAATCGGACGAAAATATATATGGGAGCTATATCTAAATCTGAACCGAGTTTCACGAAACTTAGCATACAACATTCTAGGCTTAATTAAGTACGCTGTGCCAAATTTCGTGCACATCGAAAGATATATAGGGACTTTGGTGCTCCATTTACCTTATATCGGACGAAAATATATATGGGAGCTATATTTAAATCGGAACCGATTTTTTCCAATTTCAAAGGGTTCGTCCTTGGGCCAAATAAGTGACGTATGCCAAATTTCATCCAATTCGGATAATAAATGCGACATGTACTATGTTCACAATTTAACATGGGCAGACAGACAGACGGTCGGACGGACGGACATGCATAAATCGACTTAAAAAGTTATTCAATGTATATTCTCAAAAGGAACCATGTGTCTATCTCGTTTCCTTTTGCCTTTTACAAACATATGCACAAAGACATAATACCCTGTACCACAGTGTGGTGAAGGGTATAAAAATCAGTCTTTATTATGGATTTCCACGATATCGAATCACCCAAGGATAGTAGGACCAATTGTACCTATATCGAGTTTGTACCATTATACCGACATTACAAGATTGTTGTCAACGCACAGAACTAGATTTCACAATAAACAAAAGACTAAAGAAACAAACTTCTTATACGTATTTCTTTAAAATAAATCATTTTACAAATATATTTCCCCTTCTTTAATTTCCAGGTTGTCCGCACCATGATCCATCCCCAATATAACCCCAACACAATTGCCAATGATGTTGCCTTGTTGAAATTGGAATCACCTGTTCAATTCAACGATAAGATTCGTCCCGTATGTTTGCCAACTGCCAATCAAAATTTCGATGGTAAAAATGCCGTTGTTGCCGGTTGGGGTCTATTGAAGGAGGGTGGTACCACCTCCAACTATTTGCAGGAAGCTACAGTTCCAATTATTTCAAATCAAGAATGTCGTCGCACCAGATATAAGAATAAAATTCAAGATGTTATGCTATGCGCTGGTTTGGTTCAGACCGGTGGTAAGGATGCCTGCCAGGGTGACAGTGGTGGTCCATTGATTGTCAATGAGGGTCGCTATAAATTGGCTGGTATGTATTAAAGGCAATGCCATATTTTGTTTATATATATTAATGATTTTTGTTTTTGTTTGTAGGTGTTGTTTCCTTTGGTTATGGTTGCGCTCAAGCCAATGCTCCTGGCGTTTATGCTCGTGTTACCAAATTCTTGAGCTGGATCGAATCGAACACCAAGGATGGTTGTTACTGCAGCGATTAATTTGCATAGGAAAGCTATATATGAAATTGTAGTGACAAAAAGCAATTTCATCAAAAATTATCCCATTTCACTTTTTAATTTATAGAAAATTTAATTATTTATTGGCATCACTGATTCATATCCAAAATAAACCCATAATTTATTAAAAAAATAGATTGATTTGCGACGAGGCTTATATATAAAACAGATCTCCTTCGCTGTTTGAAATTTCGTGGTGTTAAAACCACGGATTTGTTAAAGAATATTTTTTCAACATAATATAATATTATATTCTGCGTGAACCATCAGCTATTTTCGCTCAGTTATATATGCAAAGTGGTGAAGGGCATGATATATCCATTCTCACAACATGAACTAGCCAACGTAGTCGCTGCAGCTCGATACGTCTAACAATGTCGATGTCCAAGAATAGATGGTACAACTCATGGTTCATTCGACGGCGATATTCACCGTCAACGCAGATCGGCCCATAGATCTTTGGGAGAATTTTTCTCTCAAACACTCCAAGAGCTGTCTCATCTGCTTGCGTAAGTACCCATGCTTCAGATCCATATAACAGCACGAGTAGTATCAGCGTCTTGTAGAGTGTGAGTTTGGTCTGGCGGGAGGTGGCCTTGAATTTGATTTGTTTGCTCAGACCATAGTAGCATCGGTTGGCCATCGTTATTGTTCAGAATGTTTTGAACAGAAATTTTATTTGTCAGCTCTTCTTGCCAATTGCCAGCATGTTCAAAATATTTTGAACCAAATTTTGTATTTATACCCTTCACCACTCTGTGGTACAGGGTATTATGTCTTTGTGCATATGTTTGTAACAGGCAAAAGGAAACGAGATATACTCATGGTTCCTTTTGAGAATATGCATAGAATCACTTTCTGAGTCGATTTATGAATGTCCGTCCGTCTGTAGATGTTAAATTGTAAACAAAGTACAGGTCGCATTTATGAACCGATGTGGATGTAATTTGGCACAAGTCACTTATTTGGCCCAAGGACGAACCCTATTGAAATTGGGAAAAATCGGTTCAGATTTATAGCTCCCTTATATATTTTCGTCCGATTTAAGGTAAATGGGGCACCAAAGTCCCTATATATCATTCGATTTGCACGAAATTTAGCATAGAGTACTGAATTAGGTCCAGAATGATGTGTGCCAAGTTTCGAGAAAATCGGTTCAGATTTAGATATAGCTCCCATATATAGTTTCGTCCGATTTAAGGTAAATGGTGCACCCAAGTCCTTATATCACTCCATTTGCACGAAATTTAGCATAGTGTACTGAATTAGGTCCAAAATGATGTGTGCCAAGTTTCGAGAAAATCGGTTCAGATTTAGATATAGCTCCCATATATAGTTTCGTCCGATTTAAGGTAAATAGTGCACCAAAGTCCCTAGAGTACTGAATTAAGTCTAGAATGATGTGTGCTAAGTTTTGGAAAAATCGGTTCTGGTTTCGATATAGCTCCCACATATACATATATATTCGTCCGATTTTACATAAGTGGTGCACCAACCTTCTAATGTTTGTCCGATTAACACGATTTTTTGCACAACGTATCAAGTTGAGACTTGAATAACGTTATTGGGTTTTGTTGAAATTGATGTAGATGCTGTCATAGCTTCCATATGTATTTCGAATGGATGTCTGAATGAAATTAAAATTTTAACAGTGCGGTGACCGAAAATTGCTATAAGTCGTTTTTCATAAATTTGTCCCATGGTACGAAGTCGACTTTAAATCTGCCCTAATGAAATTAAATTTATCATAGGTTGCAAAAAGATTTGCGTATGTTCCTTGGAGGGGATACATATGTACAATATACCCAAAGTGGTGAAGGGTATCAAATAGTCGGCCCAGTCCGACTTTACTGCTTTCCTTACTGGTTTTTGATCGCTGAATTGTTGTAAAATAAGATTCTACAATCCCACATGCAACGCTGATAAGACAGTGGTTGTTTGTGTTGAGATTTTATGACGCACACGATAGGAAACACTCTCCACAGATCAATGTCTATTATTAGAACAAATAGTTTATTGATAAGTACTTTGTGTTTTTGAGATTAGGCTAAGCAAGAGTGGTTTAAGTAGAACCGATGTCATCGGCGTAGGCGAGTAAAATGTGTTGTTTGGGGTACAGATTGCCATTTCTGTTCATTTTTGCCTCTCGTATGACCTTTTCCAGCTGGATGTTAAAAAGGTCACACGATAAACTATTACCTTGTCTGAATCCTCGTTCGGTATTAAAGGGTCCGAAAGGACCTTTCCGACTTTAACTGCATGGCTTTATACACCTCTGAACGGATAGGGCTGTCGAATGCGGCTTTATAGTTGAATAGGTAGAATGTGTCGATGTGATTTTCGTGGGTTTTTTCCAGGATATAGCGCAGAGTGAAAATCTGGTCAATGATGGATTTGCCAGGTCTGAAGCCGCATTGGTATGGTCCAATAATGTCATTGAGAATTGGCTTCAGTTGTTCGCATAGTACGCTGGATAGCACTTTATATGCGATGGGAAGGAGACTTATTCCTCTATAGTTGGCACATATCGTCTTGTCTCCTTTTTTGTGCACAGGACACAGGATGCTGATCATTGGGCATTCATTCTTCTAACCAAGTTGTACTAATCAGCTGGCGCATAAAGCTTATCAGTATCTAACCACAAGTCTTGAATAGTTCGGCTTGTTAACCATCGGTACCTGCTGCTTTATTATTCTTCAGCCGATTGAGTGATATTCTGACTTCATCTTTGCTAAGTGGTATACACTCTATACCGTCATCTCTTATTGGTTCTGGGGTATTTACTTCACTGCTACTATTTGATACCAGAAGTTTCTCAAATTGCTCCTTCAATATCCTCAGCACGCTGTCTGTATCTGTCACCAGGTTTCCTTCTTTATCTCTACAGGAGGATGTGCCTGCACCAAAGCCTTCGGTTTGGTGTTTTAACGGTTTGTGAAATTTTCGGACTTCATTCTGACTCCTGTACATCTCGATTTGCTCACGCTCACGTTTTTCTTGCTCTTTCTTCTTTTTTCTGAAAATACGTTTCTCCTCTCTCCTTTTCTCCCGATAGTTCTCCATCGCATTACGCGTTTTTACTATCCGCAGGGTTGCCATATACACTGCGTTTTTCATATCCGTACCATTACGACACTCCTGATCGTACCATGGGTTTCTTGGTGGTGGTTTTTGGTACCCAAGTATTGATGCAGTATGGCAATTCTCTGCCATTGTGCTTCTATATTATTATCGGGACAAGGGGTGCTTTCGTCAAGCAGTTAGGTAAGTTGAGCGTAGTAGGCTTCTGCTATATGTTGTGTTTGCAGCTTTTCGACGTCAAATTTCCGTTTTACATTAGATCGCACCTTTGCTGCCACATTAAGACGGGTGCGTACCTTGGCTCGCACATGGTAATAGTCCGAATCTTCATGGAGGCAGAATTTTCCGACGGTGGGGTCAAAGATATTTTCCCTTCCAATTTTTGTTTTTTCATAGCAGATTGGTTTTTCCGAGAGTGGGCAACTTCAACCCGACGCCTGAACACTATTTCATCGGGTGATGAAAATAGCTACCCCAGGTGGCACCGCGGGGAGGTCATTGTCCATTGAAAGAGGGACCAAGATAAGCCTGGACTTCGCCATGTTAAAGCCAATCAGAGCCGTTGCTTGGTATCTATCATCCCCTGGCCACAAAACGTGGATTATTAAGGAATATGTTTTGAAAAACCAACGGACCTGAAATGAGGATTTTTGAACAAAAAATATTTATGGACCAATAGTCCATGAAGCTTGAATTCTTAATAATTTTTAGACTTATTTATCAAGAACTAAAAGCGTATTAAGCTAACATATATACATTTTTGCAATATCCTCAATACCCGCATATCCGTTATTCCTACCCGCCTTCTTTAGGCACAATTACTTCAACTTATCCTAACACCAACACTAAGCAGGAAATAATTTAAATTGATCAGAAATTCAACTAGTAATCATTATTCATGACAAACACTTTCATGTACCCCCAAACCCAGCAATGTCCAGTTTCCCTCAGATAGTCAACAAAACAGCAAAAAAGGGAAATCACAAGGTTTTCCCAATTCATTATCACCTCAGCAAAGTGGTCATTTTTCATGCTAAAATCACCATAATTTGCAAGTTTTATTTTAGATTTTCCTGTCTATTATTCGTTGTTGGCATTTTTGCCGTTTCGTTCAAAAGACGCTTCAGTCGTGATGGCTGAATTGAAAAATAATCTCTTTACGGAAGAAGTAACCATATTGTTATTAATAGCAAAAGAGGATGTACACAGGGATAACAACACCGACGACAAAAACAACACCAACAACATTAAAAAGACAATGAAGAGTTGTGAATAAAGTTCTGAAGATATAAAAACAAAAAACTCCCGCGGGTACTATGAAGGGATAAACAAAGCCATGCCAAAGCTGATCTTGAAAACATACACACACACGCTGACACATACACACAATTCATACACACCCATTTGGACAAGCCTAAACTGCAACGACTTATCATCGCGCACACCTTAGAAGAAGAAGATGATGATGATGAAACAGAAGAAAAAAATTAAACCGTAGAAATGACCAATGCTTGACTAAACTTTAAATAATGTCTAACGGGGAAGAATGCCTGTTATTAAGGTCATTTTGACAAATATATTTAAAGTTCAGTTTGGACAAATATTTCAAAATAATCGTATTACTCTGGCTTCTAATACCATTAGTATAACAATGTTGGTATGCGATAATCCCGCACAAGTAACTTCAGGAATGTCTTAAAAGACAACAGTTAATTTTTCAGAAATTAAATTTCATATATGGCGGACATATGAAATTTAATTTCTGAAAATTTACCTATTGTCTTCTGACACATTCCTGAAGTTACTTGTGCGGGATTTTTGTGCGATAATAATAATCCTAGTTCATACCAGAGCCAAACCTGCACTCTTTCGAATGCCCTTGGAATCTAACAATCCAGTGATCGAAAAT